CCATTGCACTACAGCCTGGGTGACAAGAGCAAAACGCTGTCTCAAAAAAAAAAAGTAATATGTACTCAGATTTAAAAGCCAGGGCTTCTCTTTCCCTGTACATAATGCGCTTGGGCAGTGTCACCTGTGGCTGCAGCTGAATGCCATAACGACTGACCTTGACCGGCAAGCCTCCCTATGTCTGTTTCCTGCCTTCATTGTCTCCTGACAGGTCGCCCTGTCTTTAGCCCTTCTCTGCATTGTGATCCTTCTAACATGCAGTTCTGGTGATGTCACCTTCCTGATTAAAATTCTCTGATGGCTCCCTCGGCAATCAAATGTGGGCTCCTGGTTCCTTGCCTTGGCAGCGGCACATCCTGTTGCTCTCCCCTGCCTACCTTCACCCTGGCTGTGCTCAGCTCATTGTTGATCTCCAGAGATCCTGTACACTCTCATGTCCCTGCACCAGGAACTGACTGTTCTGTCTGGAAAATGCCCTCTTGTCTTTCAGACGTGTCTGCCGGGTAAACTGTTATTCATCCTTGAGGACTTGGCTCACATCTTCCCTGATTAGCCCACACAGATGTGGGATCATCTTCTTCCCAGCTTCCAGGGCCCCTCGTGGATTAGAGCTGGTGTCACGTTGTTTTATAATGTCTTGTCCCAACTCTGTGCCCCACTAACCTGTGCCTCCTGGAAGGCAGTGACTTTGTCTTCTCAACTTGACATTTCTAACCTAGCTCAGCACCTGGACTCACTATTCAGACTACAATACCGCAAAGGCATAGAACATATTCGTATTCACCACTGCTGTTGCCATTGCCTGGCATAGGGCCTGGCCTATAGGAGGTATTCATTTCATATTTGTTGAAAGCATTAATAGTGGGTGTTTTTAAATATCTTACTGTAATGGTTTAGCTCAGGAATCGCAACCTGAAGGGCATCATCAAGCCATGGCCATCTTTTGTATGGCCTCATAGTATTTTAAGTTTTTTGAATTTGATACCTGTGGATAGAGCATGTGCTCTCCTGTTTACCACTGATTAATTGCACAGTTAATCCACTCTGATTATCATGCCCTTGACCTCCTTACTCATCTGCGACTCATCTGGTCCCTGGAGATGAGGTTGGGGGTTGTGGGGAGGGGCAGTGTATTTCTTTGTTGAGGCTACCATAACAAATACCATGGGCCAAGTGGCTTCAACAGCAGACATTTATTTTCTCATGGTTGTGGAGGCTGGAAGTCCAACATCTAGGTGACAGCAAGGTTGGTTTACCTGGAGGCTTTTCTGCCTGGCTTGCAGATGGCTGCCCTCATTGTGCCCTCACATGGT